TTTGACTGTTACAATGTAATATATTTACAAAAATAGAGAAAACGATGACGCATACTTCATACCATATCGCAACAGACACTGAAATACCTCTAAAACATTGATCTAAACAATATATTTATCACATGGCCTGCATATTATCCTTTCTCGTTACAAACTTCATCTTTGAAGTCTAACATACATATAGTATAATATCGATAAACCAAATACGTAAATTAGTGAAATACCATTTCGGGGAGATAATTTATATATAGCAAAAAAGACGCAAAGTTTGAAATCTGAAAAAATATCAACGTGTGGTTTGATATCCTTACGACTACCTCTCGTGATTTTTTCAGTCATAAAAATGCCGATATCATTCAAATTCCCTTCATATTTACACGAAATTCTTATTTTTTCCCTTGAAATAAATGTCAGCAAACTAAAACAAAAAAAACTAAAACTAAATCACGAAAACATATTTAATGGAAGAGAAAGTGAGAATTGCGTCATTTAAATAGATTACCACATGCAATGTATACTTTCCAGAAAATACATCATGCGTAACAAAAATTTCATCTTTGATGAGCCTGAGAAAAATTCAGAGTGAAAGACTCATTTATGAAAAAACATTGAATAGTTAGCACACGGGCATTAGATTATAGACTTTAAAGCAAAGCAATGTAAATTGCATACGGTACTACTAACGAAAATGCTATAAAAATATTTTAAAAAGTAATTTCGTTGCTCAATACACCAACAACAAAGTATTATAAAACTCTTATAACCATGCTCTTTCATCGAATTTCTGATATTTTCCCGAATATTAATTTTGTTACACATTTGATCCAGTTCCCTTTCTCCCCGTGGTTCTATTTTGCTTAATTTTGTTCCATCTTCAATTTGGCCAATTCGTCCTATAACATTTGAATTTGAGGTTGTGCCCCTTTCACCCCTTACGAAAAATGCGGATCCACAAAGCACGTATTTCTATTTTTTGTCAGGGAGCCTCATGGGAATTTGATATACATCATATTTCTACTTATTAATCGACATAATCAGTAACATAAAATTCGGACAAGCACATAGGCCTAGAACATGTAAAAAGACATGGTTTGTTTAGTAGCATCCAATTCATATTATAGTGGAATCCACACCCAAATCCTAGTAAATTCCACTCCAAATTATGTGACCCAAAAAAAATATTTAATTTTTGTGTGTTCTATCTTACTTCTGCTTCTTTGTTTTAAATTTACATGCTTTTACGTGATCGCCTTTAAGCAATTGATTTCAAGTGGATTCGGCGCCTTCCAAATCTCACATACATATATTACTATTATTACAAGTAACAGCAACGTATGATGCTGAAGCAGTGTCTTGGACCACGTAAAGGAAATCTTGAAGATCCTCCCTGATAACGTTTGTTTGTTTCTTGTTATTTCCGTGATATAAAAATAATATAAAATGAAAAGAAAGTAACAAAAATTACAAAGGTGCCCTTTTGTTCGTGCCCCATCCCCTCCCCCCCCCCCACACACACACACTTTGAAATACGCTCCGTCTCCCTGAATAAAAACATAAACCTATATACATAAATCATAGAAAATAAACTCATTTCAAAAGTCATTTTAAATATACAGAAGACCGCATGTTCATGTACACCCACAACAAAAAGTGAGTCACACTTACTCAAATTGATGAGTCACTGGTTTGTCCGTACAGCGAAACACTTGAAGGATCATGTGAGTCACTATGACTCGATACAAATGAGTCTTATTTATCTAAGAGACTCATTTGTATCGAGTCATAGTGACTCACATGATCCTTCAAGTGTTTCGCTGTACGGACAAACCAGTGACTCATCAATTTGAGTAAGGGTGACTCACTTTTTGTTGTGGGTGCATCATGACATAGACCCCCCTACTCCCTAGGCCTATCACACACATACCATACCATGCCAGAGTCACTGTCCACATTTGCAATGGAAAATATATCCTAAAATATCACATTTTAGCGATGTAATCGGTGGTCCCGCTACCCGAATCTGAAAAATCTACTTTGTACGCACTAAATTAAGCCTTAACTTGAGATTTATTTGTCACCCATACTGTCACGAAACAATCTTGAATTAATTCGTTTTACATCAAATAACAAGGATCTAGGAGTTTCGTTGTATAAAACAATGATGCAAGATCATGCATGTTTTCATTCGACACGGCTTCGTGCGATACAGTAGAATCTATACACTATGAACATGACTGACAATGAGAGCGGACAAAATATACAGTTCCTCAGGTAGACAAAGGAACATCCCTTCACAGCTATTATGTAAAAAGGTGAATATGCATGTGACACCTGTTCTACACATTTTTACAGCAGTAAGGGATGTTCCTTTGTCTACCTGAGGAACTGTATATTTTGTCCGCTCTCATTGTCAGTCATGTTCATAGTGATAGTTAAGTTACACACAGCCTCATCAACTCGAGTGCGGATATCGTAAAATGAACGCATGCATCATTTGTATAATAATCAGAAGATTCAGCCCACGAATCCAGTCATAAAAATCATCGTTTAGAACCATATGAATAATTATGCGTACCAATTTTTCACTAGCTGCAGTCAAAACTCTTCTGAATCCAAGATATAAGATGGCGACGTCGCGTCGTCGATCGGGAATTCAAATATGGCTCGAGAATGCGCATTTTGGATGACGTCACGAAAGCATGCGCGCGCATGCATACAGCCTCACTTTCAAGTTGACTCACTATTTTCTTCTAAAATGCTCTTATGTCGATCTTGACTCATTTTTTACGACCATGTGAGTCAGTCGAAGCATTTTGCAAATGCGTCAGCTCATGATTGACACACTGGTGAAATATAAATGAGACAATAGAGACTCATTGGTTGTTACTAATGAGTCAATTTACACCTGACTCACGAAAATTATGCTTAAATGTGTCAAATGACTCACTTTTTGTTGTGGGTGTAGTTATTCCATGCTCAAAGTTCCTTAATACATACAACTTTAATTTCATGTTTGCTTCTTTATATTTCTCTCCCTTTCTCTCCCTCTCTTTATCCCTCTCGTTTTATTCTTATCATAATTCTTTTTAAAGACGTATGTCCCTTTTGCAGCCAACATCGAGTTCTGTAGGACTTTGCATGAATTATGAATATATCATGAGTGTCATATCTGTAAGATTTCTACTATAATTCTACTCATTTCTACTATAATTTAATTATGACATTTTTCTTGTATCGATCTTGTACCTTGGGCAGTTATCGTAGAGAAATGATTTGGCTGAATACAAATGTAACGTATAAAAGGAAAATGCTTTTTTATATGAATTGGATAAATTCTGACATTTTGTTTGTTGGGGATTTAATGGATGGTAAAGGTTTTCTACCAGTTAATGAGTTAAATGCGAAAATATTATTTAAGGATGGAAGGTGGTATAGTCAATATGCACGTATTAGAAGAGCGATTCAATCACTCGGGAATATGTTAGTACTTGCAGATATGAATGTAGAACATAGAGAGTATATGAAATTTAGACCCACAGCGTTTGTATATAATGATATAAAATTGATTGAGGATATGATTTCAGTTAGACAGTTGACAGTTAAAAGAATATATCAAGAGTTAATTAAATCAAAAATCGAAAAATCTAGAGCGGAGGAATTTTGGCGTAATACTTTGGAAGTTGAATATATACCTGTATGGTCGGATGTTTGGTTATTTAAGTTAAAAAATATAAAAGACAGCTTACTAATTAATTTCAATTTCAAATTCATGTATAATATTTTAGCAATACCATATAACTTGTTTAAATGGAAAGTTAATGCCAATGATAAATGTTATTACTGTAATCAGACAGGTGATTGTATGCACATGTTCTTTTTTTGTAACGAAGTCAGTATGTTTTGGAATGAAGTTGAAAGGACTATAAAGAAATATTTCATGTGTAATTTTAATTTCAAACCATGTCATCTATTGTTTGGTATTGATTTTAATTCAAAGAAAGAAAACGATGTTGATATTATTTTGAATTATGCACTTTTTACTGTTTACAAAAGTTTTGTTGGAAAAGAATTTAAAAAGAAAACAACTATAACGAGACTTCTTCATATTTTTGTTTACCTATTAAGTTATCGTTTACAAATAGAAGAAAATATTAGAAAACCATGTATATCCCTCCAGAAATGGAGGCGAATGCTAAAAATGTGAATATGCTTATATTATTATGAAGAAAAGAATAAAGAAGACCTGAAATGGTTATTTTACAAAAAGAAAAAAAATATCTGTAAGATTTAAACATTAGCAGTGTCCTAGTATTCAAATTATGCAACAAAACCCGTTTACCTTCTAGACTTAACTGTAAGACACTATTGAGTGACTCACTGACATTTGTTAGTAACATACATACAATGAGCTGTTACAGGTACATGAGCATTTTTCTACATCAATAGCCCACTACCCAAAATTAAACTGATTGAATCTTTGTGCAGCACAAAACGTAAAACAATTCGGTAAAAGGGTCTGAAAATCACAGTATTACTTAGGTGATCGCAATCGCTCAAGTCGATTCGACAACCAATGGTCGTCATTTTCACACTGAAAGCCACTTTTTAGCCTTTTCGTTTTAAGGGAAGTTCTAAATTAATGTTGTCTTTCAAATGCCATTGGAATTTAACCTTTCCCTTTTTTTGGCCTGCAAATGGGACGTAGTACCTTTAACGTTTTTTTATCATACGCAGGGGTAAATCTCAGGGTGTGGTGCACTTCACATTTTCACATTCTAGTAGCTTATAGCTTAAAACAAATCGGTAGGGGTATGAATTATTAATTTGTTAACTGTACGTATGTATATATTTATAATTTCCTGGTTATTTGGTGATTCAAATTTATACAGTAAAAAGATAATTACATTTTTTTCTCAAGATGTCTGTTCTGACTTCTTTTTATAATTTCACAATGTTTTCTTTTACCCTTTCAGTCTAAATATTGGTTTTCTTCAGATATTTCTTTAGATCTTTAAGATTTTGTGGGCATGGTTTCTCGAATAATCGAAATAATCAAAAGTTAGCAGGTAAACGTTGCAGCCTCATGATGTATCTCAGTGGTTGATCTTTGTCCCAGCAAGCACATCCTCGTGCGTTTAATGTACGTGAAGAACTTGCATGATTCATCTTCAAAACAAATGTGACCGCACCTAATGACGGACCTCACATCCGGGTGAGATGAGTGAGTGTCAGTAAGCGCCCGATCCCTGGCAACAAGTCTGTACACTGCGGATCGTTTGGAGACTGTAATAAAGAGGGGAATCAGCAACTAAACTTTATGACTTTCTAAAAATTGGATTCAGCGGCAATTATCTCGTCTACAGAGTCATGTGAGAGGATCACAAAGTCAATAATAGGGACTTTTAGATTTGCACGTCGACATAGTGGACTGCTACGCGTGACGTCCTTTTAAGGCACTGGCATTGCCTTAAAATGACGTCACAGTGCCCTAAAAGGACGTCACACGTAGCAGTCCAATATGTCGATGTGCAAATCTAAAAGTCCCTAATACCAAGGTAGATACACAAGGACAGTGCGTGAGAAAGTACTGTACCAAAATCGTTTTCTTTGTAATCCCATTGCGTATGAGCCTCAACATCCATTTAACCACCAATACAACACGGTACTCCAAACGTATGATGCAGTAGAGCAAAAATGAATTGTCTATTGCTCCACAAACAGTGCCACTCAGGCACACATGCATGGTGACAAAGGTACCTTATATACAACGGCGCAACCTTTTGACGTAGGGGAACGGAGGACTATTTTAGCATCTGATGCTTAATTTGCCTGACGTAGGCTTTTTATGCCTCATAATTATGTGAAACTGTTTGAAAATTGAATTACTTACGTATACACTAAAATCGCCATTAAAATCAATGACGGATTACGTGGGGTGGGATAGTGATCACATTTTTAATTTTTTTTTTGGTCCTCGAAAACTAAAAACATTTGCATCCCCCCCCCTCACCCTTGAGCACCCCAAAAATGTAAAAATAACGTGTTTTTACATTATTTTTTTCTCAAGGGGGGGGCGGGCCCCCAGGCCCCCCCCCCCCTGGATCTGCCACTGGTCTCTCAGGCTCCACCTGAATTCACATTCGAACAATGAAAATATGTTTTTAGAAGAAGATATGATAGCAATGAAATATTTTATTAACAATAGTGTTGCAGTCGCGATGACGAAAGCCACATTCATATTGTTTTAACCCCCCCTCCCGATCCGGTTTGCTCTACTCCATCTTTTGATATTATAATGGTGTTGGGACCGTATTAATTATAATTAAATATTAGAATATATCTTCTTCATGAGACGAAGAGCGTTAATTGTAACTCCAAGTACATACCAGGTTATGTTTTGCATTTTAATGCTTAATGGACAAAGAAGTAGAAAGATAAGATGCAAGAGAGAAACAGGGGGAATAATGTCAGAGAGATGGGGAGAGGAGAGGGTCTTACCTTTGAATGTCACGGGGAATCTTGTAAAGGGGCAGCAATGACCGACGTAGAAGAGAGAACATAGGAGAATGAAATGGACATAGTACGGAAAATAGAGCTAAGAAACAAGACATACAGAGGGGAGAACACAGCAGAGAGAGAGAGAGAGGGGAGTTAGAGAGATGCGGAGAAGAGGAGACTTACCATTGAATGTCACGTGGAGTAGTAAATGGGCAGCGAAAATGGACGTAAAAGAGAAAGTTTGATATAAAATGGAGATAGTATGGGTAAGAGAGGACGACAGGAAGAAAGAGGGGAGAGAATTAAAGGAAGATAGGTTGGGTAGAGACAGGGTTAGTGGGATGAGGAGACTGGCCATTGAATGTATACGTAATATAGAAATTAGGAGAAAGAAATGAAGGGAAACGAGAGGTGAAGAGAGGAGAGGAGAGAATGGAAGAGAGAGGTGGTAGCGGGAGGAAGAGTCTTACCACTGGTTGTATTTTCTAGTACCAAAGGAGAAATTAGTTGACTGAATTCCATAGGTGTAGAAAGTACAGCTTCTCCCATCTGCAAATGAATCAATATGTCACCAGAAAATTGAAAATAATTTCATTTCAATAAATAACACATCAAGTGATAAGTAAGAAGCAATAATACAATAAATAAATTCATTTGACCTAACATGTTTTTTCTTCCAAAATCTTAATTTAACTACAGCAACATATATATATATATATATATGAATATATTGATATATATACGTTTGTGTGCATAATTTATTAGCGTTGTAACGAAAAGGCACGAGGCGCAAACCCAATAAAGCGTGTTGCTGGTCCAAACGAGTATTGATATACTATTTGATAGTATATCCCGCATACTAATAATCTTGCAATCTGATTGGTTTAAACGAGGTCACATGATCAATGAAAGATAAGTACTTGTACTTGTACTTGTCACCTTGTATATTAGGCCCTGTATTTTCGTTCAAATGTTTTGGGGAATGTGAACGGTATAAGCAGGCGCTGAATAGAACATATGAGCTTCATATACACAACCACACCAGTGACACTAGTTAACGGAATCTTCAACAGGGTTGAGAAAAATCATTCAAATCAGACATAGTGTATTAGTTATTAAAGACGCAGGATATAAAGCTTAAAGTATACAATGCCCTAAACAGTATTAACATGTAAGTGTATAAATGAAGTAAGATACAAGTATAACGATAATAAAATATAATACCTAGCTCAATGTTTAATATAAAGGCCTGGAGAAAGCATGTCAATATATCAGTAATCCTATTAATATGTAATAAAAAAGTAAGATTAATTAAGTACAATACAAATTATCCAGCATCATGGCATGATATATAATAAGAAAAATAAACGGAAACTAATCAGAGGTATATAGTAAAGTAATTACATGTATAACCGGATGAGATAAAACTACAACTACGAACTATCTAATATTGCTGTTTTTGAAACGCGAAGAAAAGTTGTATGCATGGTCAGCGATCCCGGGGGTACGGGGGCACATCCCCCTCGCATTGTTTAGTAGACTATAGGGCATGGGGTCAAAAGAGCTTCCTAAAATGATTTTTGTAGTCTCCTCCTTGTGACTACCTAAACTATGGCTTAAAATGTGGGTATTGTGTTCCTTATCAATATTCTGATAGTTCCCACGTCCAGAAGTGGAGCACTTCCGAAAAAATGGCGGCCAAAACAAAAGATCTGAAAACAAGCATTCCTTCATAAAAGGACTGCATCCGGTGCAAGTGATTTTCACTAATACAGGTGGTAATTGGTTTTAATCAGTGAATCTGATACCGCTGTGGTGGTCTAACTTCATATTTATTGTACAAGATATCTATAGGGAAGATGTAATATTTCACAAAACACTGTATAGTTCAGGAAATTTGCATGAAAATGACATTTTAAGCCAAAATACCTAAGTTTGACATTTTTCTGCAACAAAGCCTGTAATAATTTAACAATTATTCTGAATGAGGAAGTTCATTTACAAACAATAAATATTACAGTAAAAAACAAACTACTTTGCTTTGTGCTGCTTCTTTAGTTTGATGAACAATACATACAGCATTCATTTCACTTAACGCTTACTGTACTGGGGGGGGGGGCTGGGAGGCCCCCCCTCGACATTTTCGGAGATTGCGCCGCAACCGCTTGGAATTTTGAATTGTCGTTTCATGACTTTTTTTCCCTCAAGTCTTACGCACATTTTGATACCATTTTTGTCGAAATCGGATATACCTGCAAGGTGTTACATAAAAATTAGTATGCACATGTCATGAAAAATATGCTATAATTGCATATATTCATGTACAAGCAGAAATGTGAATACTATGAATTGATATCAAATTGCTTTTATATGTTTCTCAAAGTAACTTGATGTGTTCCAGAACAAAAGAATACATTAGAAATAAAACAATAGATATAATAAGAAATAAAAAACAATAAAATACAAAAGAAAATAAATATTTGAAAATCGCATCTAATTTAATAATAATAATAATAATAATAATAATAATAATAATAATAAAAACGTTACTTATAAAGCGCTTACCACCAAAGTCTCTAAGCGCTATACACACAAAATAGACTGATATACAATTACATCTTATACAAAACTAAAAATGCAAATAAACCTACAAATTGCAATACATATGGAATACACATCAAAGTGAACAGAGTTAATTAATCATCGAACGCAATTTTGAATAAATGTGTCTAAATCATTAGCAGTGGACCAAGCTTTGATATCATTTATACATCTTTCAAGTTTAGTAATAACAGAATGGTCGGAATCACGTTTCAAAACAACATAAACTTGGGTGTCATCTGCATATATCATTCGGCCTAAACCATGCGCTTCAATAATATCTTCAAGTGGTGCAGTGTACAGAGTAAATGATAAAGGGCCGATGACGGATCCCTGAGGAACACCTTCAAGTGGAAGATGAGGTTTGGATAATGAGTCATTAATGACATTAGATTGTGAACGATTCATAAAGTAGGTTTTAAACCAATTCAAGGCAGTACCTGATACACCATATCTATTACGTAAGCGATCAAGAAAAACATCATGACTGATAGTATCGAAAGCCGCAGAATAGTCTAAAAGTATTAAAACAGCTTCATCACCTTGGTCCACAGCTAACAACAAATCATTATATACACGTATAAGAGCAGTTTCAACGCTATGAGAAGATCTATAAGCAGATTGCATTTTACTACACAGATTAATTGTTTGATGATAGATAGCCCTGAATTTGAGAAGCACAAGCACGTTCAATTGTTTTAGCAAGAAACTTAAGGTTGGCAACAGGCCGATAGTTTTTCAAAATTTCACAATCCAAATTTGGTTTCTTAAAAAGAGGAGTAATTTGCATAAATTATCATAAATTAGTAATTAATAATTATTAGTTATTATAGTTATTTTGATGTAATACATCAAAATAACTATTTTGTAATAGAAAAGAAGTTTCATATGAATAACGGGTTTCAATTAACCATTTAAAAAGTGGAGTCAGACAATTTTTGTAATGATTCTAGTTCCCTGTATATTTCTAGATTTGATATTCATGAATGCGTATTCATAATTTATGCAAATTAACCTATGCATTTTCAAATATCATAAAAATAATGTGACCTCATGAATTTGAGATGAAGGAAACACTTATCCAATACATTTTCAACATTCTTCACAAGTCTACAGATAAATATGAAGAGTTTTCTGTAAAAATGCATACAATTAGCATTTTGCATAATTAGGCTATAACGACAAAAAAATTGCATATTAGGAAAAAACTAATTATACCATCTTGTTCCTTACGTAAATATCTACAAACATGCAAATTTTCGCGTTCATCAGACTTTCGACGGCAGAGATCATAGGGGGCCCCCCCCCCCCCCCCCGTCACGAGGTGCTCAAAATAGCCCAGTACAGTAAGGGTTGAGGCAGAGCCATGCTGCTGGGAGCTGTTAGGACTTGGTTCTCATAGCGCATATTGTAGTCTGCTGGGAGCTGTTAAGACTTGGTTCTCATAGCACATATTGTAGTCTGCTGGGAGCTGTTGGGACCTAGTGCTTATAGCACATGTTGTAGTGCTGGGAGCTGTTAGGACTTGGTTCTCATAGCGCATATTGTAGTCTGCTGGGAGCTGTTAGGACCTGGTTCTCATAGCACATATTGTAGTCTGCTGGGAACTGTTGGGACCTAGTGCTTATAGCGCATGTTGTAGTCTGCTGGGAGCTGCATGTTACCGGTGTTATGACCTGGTTCTCCTCATCTTTAGGCTACAAAGAGGTTCTATGCTTTCATCAACATCTGTGGTGTCTGTGTCAGTATCAGATAGGGTGTCTGTATCAGTGGTGGTGTCTGTTTCTTCTCCTTCAGAACCAACTGCTCCTGGCACAAGGTCTTCAGTTGATAGCGTCTCGACATACACCATTTCACTTGCATACCTCTTCTTAGGCTGCAGAAAGCAGAGTTGTGGATACTTTCGTTTCAGGCGTTGTTTTAGGCTGTAGGTCTTGTAATTTGATGCATCTTTAGACTCAACATCTTTAACGGCTTTTACAAACAATCTTCTCAAAGCTGTCATTCTATATATTTGCTTCTCTTGTATGATCTTCTTGTCTACAACATAACTGCAAAATGTAAGGAATGCCTTTCCATACTTCTGCTCCTTGATGGGCTCAACACTTTTCCTTGATTGGTAGACAGTATAGCTCCTGAAACAACTGCGATGATACCTGATCTCTATTGCTACACAGTCCCGGTCCTGGATCTGAAGAAGAATGTGGACGTCCTTCTTGTCTTTAGCAGCTGTTGCTACTTTTCCACCGTCTGGCTATTGACACAGCATTAATGGTTCCTTCTTTTTCTTCCCCTCAGAGTCCTTAAATAAGTTTTATTTTGTCGACAGTTGATGCAAATCTTTGGTAGAATGTGGGCAGAGACAGAGGGCTGCTTTGAAGCACCAGCAACACTGGAATTTGACCGTAAGCGTCTTATTGCTGAGGCTGAGGACGGACCTGGAGCTTGACCGCCTGCACTTGACGTAGAAGGCTCCAATTCTGTACAAATAAATGAAAATTGAGAGAGATGGGTGATTTTCACAATTCAAATAATGTTTGAACAATTATGCAAGCAGGTTAAATAAAAATTCATAGTCATAACAGTAACAATATGAATTATTGATTTATCAAACATCAGCTGTATTCAAAACTGTACTTGTATAGTTAAAAAAACAGGCTGTTTTGGACAGTTATGCACAAGGAGAAAGAAATTAAACACTAAGACATTATTTTATAATGCATTTGTATGTGAACATCCCATTTAAATTTAAGCACAATTAAAATTGTAATGTATTCAAAGTAATCAAAGGTTAAAATTGCCCCCCAAAAAAATTGGCCATAGCTTCGCTGTCTGACGGCTTTTTAGACAAAAGCCGTCAGAAAACTAAGACATTATATTATAATCATTTGTATTTGACCATCCCATTTAAATTTAAGCAAAAAATAAAATGTTAAGGTGTTCGAAGTAATGCTACGAAGCAATCATAGGTTAAATTGAAGGTTAAAATTGCCCCCCCCCCCCCCAAAAAAAAAAAAAAAAAAAAAAAATGGCCATAGCTTCGCTGTCTGACGGCTTTTTAGACAAAAGCCGTCAGAAAACTAAGACATTATATTATAATGTATTTGCATGTGAACATCCCATTTAAATTTAATCACAAATAAAATGTTAAGGTGTTCAAAGTATTCAGTGCTATAGACTAATAACAAATCAATCGTAAGTTAAAATTGCCCCCCCCCCCCAAAAAAAAAAAAAAAAAAAAAAAAAATGGCCAAGCCCATACTTAGCTGAAAACTAAGTCTAGGCTATTGAACACTTTTTGTTATAGGCCTAGGTCTAGAATCGATTTATTTTTAGCTGCATATTAAGTGCAAGACTATATTAGACCTAGATCTGTGCTTGTTTACAACTGTAAACATTTTTGACCCGTAACTCCGGCGTGGAGATACTCTAGAATCTAGACCGTCTTCTTGTTCAAACCAGTGACTGTAAAAAAGTGTAGAGGTCTAACCTAGGCCTGGGCCTAGGAAATATAGTCTACTATTAAAAAAAAAAGATTTAAAATTGACACGAAAGAGATAAGAAAGATAATGACTTTTAAATCATGACCGTTATTTGAACAACTGTGGAATTAAGTTCTAGATGAATTTTGATGTGTTAGTAGACTAGTGTTAGAGTGGGTTTCTCCACGCCGGAGTCACGGGTCAAAAATGGTCACACTCATAGTCACACTCACAGTTGTGAACAAAATTTTGAGTGAAAAGAATTCGCACAAGTTAAGTTAAATGTATGGCTTACCTAAAGTGTGACATGATGCAGCGTCTGTTTTTTGTTTGTCTTTGTTGAGTTTCCCTCTCTCTTGCTTTGATGAATCTGTGAAATAGCGATAGCACGTCGGGTGATATCCACCAAATTCTGGTACTACCACTGGTAAGCTTACTACAGCAGTATCGACCAGCGCATCAGGTCCAACTTCGCGTAAAAAGGCTCTCGCTATATCAGCCTGATACCCCACTAAATCTTTCCAAATATTCACACTGCTTACTAATGTGTTCCACCGTGTGGTAGTGAAAGGTTTGAGATCTTCGGAAACACTAGAGCAATGAGCAAAACATCTATTTTTTGACGAATTTCGATAAGATTTTGCATCGACAGACATGATTACGGCAAACAAAGCGCCTGTATGTACACGTGACTCGCAAAAACGCATTACCAAAGCCGGTTAATACAACTTTTCTGATTGGCGGACTAGCGATAATCTGTCATTTTGTCGATCTGATGGGCCAATCAGATGAGTTTATAGTCTTAGCAACGTAAGTGGATTAATTACGCGATTTTATTGGACGATTTTATTGCAATATTATTAACCCTTTTTCATCAAAATATTTAATAATGCCCCAATCCCCAGTGTGGGAAATAACAAATTTATTTCCTAAAAATATAATGCTTATTTCTTAGATAAGTTTCAGGTAGTCACATCATGTGGAGTACAAGACAAGCGTTAAAATCGGCTCGCCCTATGGTCTATAGGGCGGAAAATTTGTAAATGTGCCAAAAAGAATGTATAGCAAATACTGACTAAAGACTGGAGGGCCCAAGAGTGCAGAGTTTAGACTAATAAAGATCTTCTGGCTCGGTCGCTACATAATCTCCTTCAAAATGTACTAGTAAATATTGTAATAAATCTCTACTGCATATTTATGTCACCCCCTCGGCTTCGCCTCGGGGTGATAGAAGGGCCGGTATGAACACCACCTTGGGAGTGATAATTCCTTCCATCATCCTCATGAGCAGTCAATATTTGTATAATGCTTTCTATTTCATAAGTTTAAAACCATGTAAAATGTATTATATTATTGAATATTGAATTGTATATCTGATTTATTGTCCAAATTACTGTTCTATTGGAAATTTAAAAAACACTGAAACTGGAACCCTGTCACATGTCTTATTACATAATTTCAATAATATCAAGTAATTTCATATGAAAAGAAAGTACTTAAAGGGCCTTTTTAACATTGCTTAGATGAGATAAAGTGATGCTAAGGTAGTCACTCCAATGCTAGATGTACAACTAATGATAATATGAAAGCTTGAGTGAAAACGGACCATTATTAATGATACAAATTGGGAAAACTGATCTAATCGTTACTTTAATTTTCTCAACTTTATTATTACAATTAAATTACATTTCGGTGAATGTAAGTCATCATAAAGCAATGAATTGGCTTTATATACCATTCCAGATATTTAAGTGTTGAAAAGCCTCTTTTATGTCTTATTTTCAAGGAAAGGTGGTTGGGAAAATTCAAAAATGGTTGGGAGAATTTACTATTAATCACTGTTAAACGGTGTTGACCAGTGACGCCTTCAAAGAAAACCGTAAATATCTTTGTGGTATTTTGCATGTTAGATACAGTAGAAGAAATATAATAAGTAATATTTCATACAAAATTACACAGTTTTTTTTATCAACCTTTAACAAAGTTGCCGAGTACCTTCAAAACTTAACAGGTACAAGGGAGTTTGATAAACTTAAGTTACAATAATTCAGTGAAGTTACCACTTTTTATAGTTTTTTTTTCTTGTTAAAATCTTCTAAGCTAGCTGCATTGTGTTAGTGCCTTCTAACTTTGACCTGCGAATGTGGCAACTTGCAAAGGAGTTTAATAAGTCTGGTTTGTGTCATTGTGCTCCCGATCCAGATTTTCGTGCGTCTCAGTGCCGAGAAACTCCTCTCACATTCCCATGAAGTTACTGGGCAAACCAGCATCAAGACATTTCACTTCTGAAAAGAGGACCCTAACATGTGGAGACATGTTCTGAAATGCATTAGTTGCACCTCCTATCGATATTGCTTTGGTTGAATGCAGAAACATGTCAACCTGCCAGATGAATCAATATTTAGATGAGATGTATATAGTAACATTTAGTTGATATTGGCTATACGTACAATTAGATCTTGTTTAAGTTTACAAATTACAAAATATGATCCGAACATGATGAAGTAGGTTTTATATGTAAAGCTCAATATATTAGTATGCCCCATGTCAGTCAGGGGATTCGTACCTCGTAAATCATTTATATCGAGGCATACCTTCCCACAACCTATCGCTGTAGCTGTGGGCTCATGCATTTTGATATAATACGATGGCAAGTACTGCGTCTTACTAAGGGTAATGAAAAAGAGTCTAGAGGGGAAAAAAGGGAAAAAAGCAACCCCCCCCCCCCTTAAAAAAAAATAATTAAAAAAAGAAGAAAAAAGGGTGACCCCAAAAAGGTGGCCTTAAAGCCCCTCCCACCGACTGAACGAAATATCGATAGGCCAAATTTTCGGGACAACGAAGTTGATGGAATGGACCCCGGCGAGACACAATGGTGCAGTCTAAGACGCGGTGGTCACAACCCGCCGTACTTGAAAGTGCGTGCTGTCTACGTGCAAAAACGTGGGCAAAATGTTGGTATCCGTATGTGGTGAGTACCGCCTCCGTACGGATTTGGGAGCACGCAGACACACAGTAGCACTTTTAGTGTAAGAGAAAATTTCGCTGCGTTAAGCGTTGGTCACATCCCACCGTGCGTGTTTTTAGTCCGTACGGTTTTTGGGGAGGCCACGGCCGCCACGTTTTTCTGAAAACGTAGGGAGGGAGTGGCAAAGGCAGGGAGGGAGTACCGGCAACGCGCGTCACACGCACTGTGTAAGTACGTGGACCGCACGCCACGTCTGGCCGTGAACGGTTGCGTGCATCGTACGTTGCGCACGTGGTAAGTGCGTTGTACGTGCTTACAACGTGCTTACAACGTACGGTCTCCGTGCGGTTGCCACGTTATCGTACGGAGGCCGTACTTACAAGTGCTGCTCACGTACGGTGTCCTTACTCACTCGCATGTTGTAAGTGCGTGCACGTGCGATGAACTCGGTGTTTATATAGGACGACATTCCGATGTTCTCCAGAAGTCCCAGCTGTTGCTGCCTCAAGATGCCGCCCATTCCACCGAAGAGACTATATACTGCATACATCAGTGCGAACGACGTGCGTTGTAAGTGCTTGCTCGGTACGGTCCACGTGAGTTCTGCGTGCTCATTGGATAGCTGAACTGGGGAAGTGGCGAGTAAGCACGGACCACGCACTTATCACGTGCGCCTTTAAAAGACGCACGGAGTCAGTGCGTTGTGCGCTCGTTGGCAGTACCGGGCACGCACGTCACACGCACTGGGGTGAATCGGTAGCCCGAACGCAGCCCGAACGCAGCGAAAGTTCCTCATGCACTAAAAGTGCTACGGTGTGTCTGCGTGCTCCCAAATCCGTACGGAGGCGGTACTCATCACGTACGGATACCCAAATTTTGCCCACGTTTTTGCGCGTAGACAGCACGCACTTGCAAGTACGGCGGGATGTGACCACCGCATTACTCGCCACCTCCCCAGTGTAACTGTCCAATGAGCACTCAGAACTCACGTGGACCGTACCGAGTAAGCATGTGCTCCGCACTTACAACGCACGTTGTGCGCACTGATTTCTGCAGTATATAGTCTCTGCGTTGGAATGGGCGGCATCTTGAGGCTGCAGCAGCTGGGACTTCTGGAAATCATAGGAATGTCGTCCTATATTTACCACGACATCGGGCGGGAAAACTCCGTACGTTGTAAGCATGTACAACGCACTTACCACGTGCGCAACGTACGATTCACGTAACCGCTCACGGCCAGACGTAGCGTGCGGGCCACGTACTTACTCCGTGTGTGTGACGTGCGTTGCCGGTACTCCCTCCCTGCCTTTGCCACTCCCTCCCTACGTTTTCAGAAAAACGTGGCGGCCGTGGCCTCCCCAAAAACCGTACGGACTAAAAACACGCACGTTGGGTTGTGACCAACGCATAACACACGAAGATTCTCTCACTACGTCGTGGTACGAATAAAACAACACAGCTGAATTTCCATGTATGGGACTAATTTTCATACCCTTTACAAAAGTGACCAGTGCTCACCCAAGCATGAATTATTTTCGGACTTTGTGGTGTCGTATGGAAGTTGAGTTAATAATGAGCTTTCCCTACATGTAAAACCTTTCCCCCAGAATCATATATTTTTTTATTCGGCAGCCATTTCAAAAGTGTATAGTTTTTTTTTTGGACGCACTGTATATCAATATTGATCAGTAACGTATTGCTAGTAGTACAAACTAATTGTGAATTAGGATCAGGGTTGGGTTAAAGTTCGGGGATTAGAGTTAAGGTAAGTATTAAGGTTGAGTTCGGTTAAGTTCTGAGTTTGAAATACCACAAAGGAATCGCAATATAATTTTCGCGGGGAAAATATTGATATGCGATTGGTGTTGGCAGCAGCACAACGTTTTTTAAGTTTTTTCTTCGCGTTTTAATGCATTATTAAATGCTAAAGAAATATCAGGTGATAGTGAATCTTATAACAATCTTTTCTTTCGTTGATGAATGTAATAAATGAACACGTAGTTGCTCAGGCGACACACTACGACATCGCGTAGATTGCCATCCTACAAAAAAACGTTCTCCTGAATGGGAGAAGGAAAATCAGGCAAAATCAAAAAATTATAGTCACAATAATGATTAATCTTTTTGTCGATCTGAGCCTTTTTCAGCATACTTACACGCGATGTCGTAGCAGATTGAGTTGTTGAAGGTTGCGTCGTAGTTGGTTGCTTTGTTACTGGTTGCGTCGCTGTCGGTTGCGTCGTAGCAGAGGGCGTTGACGCAGCGGCTTGCTCATCGCAGTCACCGTGGTGATATTGATTAAGACTTGAGCCCACAGATGGTGTTGCGGTTGGGCCCGATGTTAAGGATTCGACAGTAAAACTGGTGCAGCCGTGTAAGCCGTCAAGGAAAAAGCTGTTATCACTAAATCCAGCGAATGTGGCCTCAAAAGGGGTCTGACTCACACCAAATTCTACGTCATACATAATGAAGAATCACGGCTTGTCAATATTTTTTTTTCGTTTAAAACCAAAATGTATGTATACAATGACAAGTACAGTAACAACTGAAGTATTCATACTCCTTGCAAATGTGATGATTGTGCTACTCATCAATTAAAATGTTAGACTAGTTGAATCAGATCCTTTGTTGAATACTTTTTTGATGTAAGCTTTGATATTTCCATAAATCGGGCGAAATAAATGTTTTCACATACTATAACATATTACAAAACTTGAAAAGCGTATGAATAATTCTGTTTCTAACTGTACACAGATAAACAGTATGAACAAGCTTATCAATGAATAAAAATGATCTATATTTCTTTAACTAAGCCTATTTAATAATAATTATAATTATTATTACGGGAAACGCAAACTCTAGTATCAAAAACAATTGTGTGTTACTTGAACAACAGAATTAATGAAACTATTCTCAATCGCCTACGAACTGGGAACTTAGGTTTAATATATGAAAATCTGTTTGAGTTGAATCAACATGAGACTGGTCATTGCTCAAATTGTGAGCACGAAAAAGAAACAGTTATCATTTATTATGCAAGTGCCCAGTCTTTCTAATAGAGAGAGCCATGCTTATTACATAATATGGCATAGCAAACGAACAAGCAATCCCAATACTTCTGAAATCCACAGACATTAAAGGTAATACAAAGTTTTGGTATGGGGCCATGAATCTGGTTCAAATTAACATATTGAAAGCATATGCGATCCTACAATATTCAGTGATCCTTGTCGCGGTTGAAATCGAGTCTAAAATTATGAAATTGTAAATAATAAATTCTTTATGTTGTATAGCTCCCTCTCAAGGTCAAAATATTAATTAAGCTATAAACAATGTTTCTTGACTAAAATCGACCAATTAGCTATTCCCGTTTGGAAATTATATATCACAACTACACATTCTGAAATGTTCATGGTCGCAGCTACCATTGTACGGCCGTAGGCGCTATTTGAAAGTTATCAAAATTTACCGGAAACACCGGTAAATTTTTATATTCAATTTTTCTCGAAAGCAGAAGTGTTTTAAGAGCTAAATTTGCTAGTGCTTATAATTCATCCACAGGGGCATCCAAATATATCAAAATTGTAAAGAATCACTATCCACCCAATTTTCAAAACTTCCCAAACTTTGTATTACCTTTAACCACCAGCAGGAACTAAAAGGGTACACCTGTACCCCTACTAACCACCTTGCACCGCACATAATTATTTGAGCCCAATATGTTTCGCTTTTTTTCATAGTGAGTGATACATGATGAAAAAGAAAAGTGAGAACTGCCTATATTAACGTTTTGAATCTTCATGTATACGTTCTGTTTTTTTTTATTGGCTTTCGAACGAAATTTGAAAAAAGCGGTGGAGACGACTAGACTTATTGGTGGATGTCGGAGGGCCTAGACTCAGCATTACTAGGCTGAGTTGACAAGCTTGTCACAATGTACCGTGTCCGAGCTGGTCCTTGGGCGTCCAATATAGCCGATAGGCCTTTTGCTCGCTAGCCACTGAATTCTTCAACATAAACAGTTTAACTTTTAAAAATCCAACTATCCAAATATATTATTAAAAAAAGTCAATCTAATTTTTAAGGGAAAAAGGCTTAAGAGAAGAGGCGTAAATATTCACTTCTGAATGACAAACGCCTATAAACTAAAACAACAACAACAACATAATGATAATGATGATAATGTTAATGATGATAATAATAATAATAATGATATTGATATCAATAATAGCAATATTTCAATAGAGCTCAACCTAATGGCCCGAATTTACAAGGGAGGTTTGTCGACCAACCTAGGTTTATGTGCGTCGTATGACGCACATAAACGTAAGTTTGTTGACAAACCTCCTTTGTGAATTCTGGCCAAAGTCTCTATGTGCTTTATCGTGCTTTACCCCCTACTTTAGCGAAGCTGCCCTGGTAAGGCGCCTTGGCATTCCTATTGGGTACCCTTGTTCATTATCGGGGTGAAGACAGTCAAATGCAGATTGATGTCTTACCATTGGACTTAAGTGCCGTGACAGGGAATCAAACCCCGTATTTTGTTAATCATATTCTGGGGACATATCCACTAAACCACCATATCTGCACATATTAGTAAGCCCCATTGCACAATCAAACTCCACACTTTAAACTAAATAATATGAAATGTATGTTTCCGTATTACATGTACAGAAAGGGGTTTCTACCTGAATAAGAAACTGTAATCGCTGCGTTGAGGCCATGGAGGGAAATTCTAGTATCCAAGGTGAGACAGAACTGCCGTGAGTAGTGGTCCAGTAGGAACAAAGCCAGCTCAGTACAGGCCTTTTCGCTGCATTGTACGATGTTGTTGGCTGCTTCAGTGGCATCGACGCTGCTACCAGAGGCGACGCTCACGGTTGCGCTAGTCACCTCAACACTTCCCCGTACGTTAGAGGTGCATTTATTAAATGTCTTTATACTGCATGTATGTCCTGTTGTGGCTGCAATTTAAGAAAAGAGCAACAAACCCGGTCGCAACTACTAACTTCCAAAATCAGAAGCGAACCATTTTGATTGCCCTACTTCGGACTTTCCTTACAGGGGCTGCTGGTGCGACCAGCTGTCAACAATTATCCGTTGATAGCTGAACAAACTAAGTATTCGCAATTGCACAATACATTATTTGAATAAACATTTTTGAGCGTAACCTATTGAAATGTTGCGGACATGACAATAATGTATATATTATAAATCCGAACATGATTTCTAGTAGATATACAATGATGTATTGAATTTAGCCTTGAGTACAATTTCCCTCAAAATATTTGCGATCTGTATAATAGCTATATATTATTGATTGAGTGTGGGCAGGGCTTCCACCGGGACCATGGCTCATCTACTGAGCTGCGACATGCTTGATGACACATCATTTGTTGGGTCCAGTTTCGCCGACATGGTAAGGTCCGGCGCACACTGCACGATCTGACTACGATCTGACTACGATATGACTAATTTGCAATTGCATTTAATATGAGCATTAAAACTTGTACAATCTCAATGATCTGAATGGTCACATGATTGATAAAAGGGAGATTTCAAGGAATTTCAAGCTTTCTTGGAGAAGGAAAAGCTAAATCGGCTCAGAATCGCAGTGACGTCAGACTAGTAGTGCGATTGCCTACGATTTGAAGCGATTAGGCTTTTATTCTGAAGAGAGGGATGCACTCAAATTCGAGTTATTTCTATTCTTATCATTGCTTAGATTTCCATAGTTTCAGAATAAGCCTATATATTTTAATAGAATACATTAATTTCTTCTGTATCTCGTCAAGTAATCGCAAACAAAATTCGACCAACCTCGTCTTTAATGCTGGCCATCGAAGACCAATTCCCAATCCCCCCCCCCCCAAAAAAAAGGTTTTCCTAAATTAAGCATACATTGAATTGTCTTTCACTCTTTCATTTCTTAGGTAATTTCGATGCATATTAAATGAGTTGATAACAAATTAATTTCTCTTTTTTGGATTGAATGTAATTCGTGTTTATTATCTGTTTCCACAAAATGTTTATGGGGAATACGGTTTGGCTAGGAATTAATACGAGAAGCTTAAGCTACACGGTGTTCCTGATAAACATTAGTAGTAAATTGATCAATAAATCAAAATAACCTTTTTTCCATTCATGAATACATCATTGGAGATCTTCTCTTTTATAGCATGAAAACATCATTAAGATCAATACATTTCGCATTACCGATTTTAGACAGTCTGAAATGGCACTGACAGATACACATTTGTCTAAAGTAGTTGTTTTCATGATGGTTTTGAATGGACAAATAATCACGAGATCAATAATGATTATGTATAAATATAAATTATTTAAAAGCCCGTATTCTTTCATTCCATATCCCACCGTAATTATGTTGGAAGTAGGAAGCACAGTGTGTTCTTGATAAGTCGCAGGGATATTTGTCCAACTTCTTCATTAGTTACGTCAAACAAATCTTGAATGTGCCTCCAAACATTTGTAAATAGTTTTGCGTGCTCAGTCGTGCCTAATACTTCTGTCACGATTATGATTTTTATATGGAATAAGATATTATGAGCTTTCCAATGATGTATAATTTTTTTAACATGATCAATTCAAAATAATTTCCTATCTTTTAAAAGCCATGCTGCACCAAAGATGTAGCACCCATCCACATATTTTTGACAGTTTGGTTTCAGACACTTCCACTTCAGACAGTCTGGAATCAATGTCAGTTCATCGATGATATGCACTTTAATTCAAATAAAACTTACCAATCGAAACGAGACTACATGATCCATTGGCCCCCGCTATTAACTGCAGAAAAAAGATACCGGCAAAAATGCAATCACACTTAGTGGGTAAAAGCCAGTTAAATCATTGTCGGGGAATGATTTTTGCAGAATAGAGAACCCATATGTTTTCAAATACCATTTCCAAATACCATTACATATCAGATGATTGCAAGGAACTGAAAACTAGTTCGGGATAACATTTGCCCCAAAAAATAAAGAACTTAGTAAATAAGGAAACAATGATATGGTATGCAATGCAATAGTGTCATCGCACCTTACGTATTGAGATTTTTGTATGTGGTGATTTTGGTATGTGGTAATTATGGAGAAAAAAAAACATTGTTAACACTCTTCAAAAAATTTAAACTTATTTATTTCCCGTAGGTTCGTCTCATCAGCAATGAAACTTGGTATTCATCAGTGTGTGCGGGCAAGTATTGAATCCAATGACCGGGGTAATAATAGCATATCTGTAAAGCGCTGAGAGACATCATAGATGTATTAAGCGCTATATAAAAGCAAAATATTATTATTATCGGTAAAGGAGAACCTAGAACTTCTGAGCTGGAATCCCTGTCGCTGAGATGAGAATTTATAATATTGATATAATGATGCTTATGGTTCTGCCAAACTAATTCCCATTTTATCTAAGTGAGAAGTTTCCACAAGGAACCGTGTCGATATGACTCCCGTCAAAGTGATCTTTACATCGAAAGTATTCCCTAAAAAAACCGAGTGGAGGAAAAGTACATGTTTGTAAAAAGGAGGGCAGGTATGGAACTCGTTTTCAGAGAAAAATCTAGAATGCTCCTCACATCGCTACATTCGAATCTACACTGGCAAATATAAGTAATGATTCATATTTGCTTATCGGATTATGGAGATGTCGAATAGAACGATCAGTAGAATATTTAGTAATGTTCACTGTATCACCAAGAAAACAAATATTTGCGATATAAATAACAATCGAAATAGTCGATACATATCCAAAGTAAAGTAGTTTCAATAATTAGTTAGTACAAATCAAAACTCCATTTAAGAAAATGTTTCGTAAGTTTAAATTTCCTTTTGGCCACTCGGTATCATTTCCTTGTTAGTTTTCGTATATGTTTTACAGCGTTGAAATTTGGGGAATTTCCTATGAAGTTTACAAATGTAAATATAGTTTTTAATGTAAGGACCAAACAGGATACAAATGTATTGCCTTGATAACAACAAAATTTAAGTAGAGGAATTTATGGTTTTATCATTTTTGGTGGTTGATAGCATCGAACGCTTGATACCCGTTTGGTGTTACAATTTTACACTAATAATAGAATGTAAAAAGAAGTTTCTGGCTCAGTCGTTTTCAGAATTTCCGTTCCGTTCATCCCCACGAATCTCTTTGTCGATAATTCTGTGCTTTTACCTGCGTATTCAGACTTTTGCCATTTTGTTCATATTCTTTTCTTCAATTAGTTAAAGTTGTGACGGCCCCTTTATCCTTGACATGAATGATTTTCTTGATTGAAGAAGATACACGCATTCAATAACGCTTTGCATCTTGATCTTCGATCTTAAATATTAACAGTATTCAATGTGAGCAGGCACTTTTTAAAAGCTCAGTCAAACCACCAAAACTACAAACCGACTCCAAATTATTTATCACATAGGCCCAATCTATTTGATTCTCCTTGAAATGTTACGGCTTTAAATGGGATGAATAGAAAAACGGAGATGATTGAGGAAATAGATGCGAAATAGGGCAATTGATTTTTATCAGATTTTTGTCTAGCGTGGATAGCGCGGACCATTTCGTTTTTCATTTGTGATGAAAAAACATGAAAAATGAAAAGGTCTGCATTATTCACCTAAAAAATGTCAACGCTGCTTGATTGCATTTTGAAAGGCAAAAACTATTTTTTCTGGCCCCTAGCTGCAACAAAAAAACATGACTTCCTTTTAAGCATAATATCTTGTTTCCAGATAACTGATCAAAAGGATGGTAAGAAAATTCTGTATTTATTTTAGAATAAAGAAATGACATGAGTTTTTTTTCGAGTTACTGTATGTTAAAAATTTAAATGGCCATAAAACTTGTTGTTAGAGTGTCTTCACCCTCTTACTTAATCCTGTAATTTAGTTTATGTTAATGTTTGTGTTGAGTGATGTGTTTGTCTGCAAAACGTGGGGTAAATTATTATCCTTTAATTGTCTTTCAAACTAAGAAATAATTTAACTGTAAACATAAAACAAAATCTCGAGTACTTACCACACTCAGAAATAATCCAAGAGTTATTACATCACCAAGACTCTGTCCACGTTGATTCTCCATATCAGCTCATGTAAAACTATAAATATTCCACAATTCAATTTATATAATGATGTGTTCCTAGAAGATTCTATTCCTGAACGATTAGCTTCAATCAGAAATTAACATGCATTAATAATGCAGCAGCGTAAACAAACGTTATGTGTTCTTGTCAATTTTTCCGATCGGAACGAAAAACGCAAAAGACGAGTGAGTGTCAGATTGAATCAAACATGAAGAATATCAGAAGCAGAACGAACAAAATACCAGCGGAATATCAATCAATTTTTTATTTGTTCACAACACTACACATGAACATTAAAAAGCATCATTATTGCAGCAGCGTAATCAAACAATGTCTTCTCTCGTCAATTTTTTCCGATTAGAACAAAAAAACGCAAAAACGAGTAAGTGTCCGATTGAATCAAACGTGAAAAATATCAGAAGCAGAAACGAACAAAAGACCAGCGGAATATCAATACATTTCTAATGTGCTCACAACACTACACATGAACATTAAAAAGCATTATTATTGCATCAACACTACACGAATCCTCGAAAACGAAACAAGGGTTGATTAAATGGTGTGTCTCCTTCGTAAGCTTGAGTGATATGCGAATTGTTCTTTTAATTTATCCTCGGAAGTAGACTGCTTTCTCGCTAAAGATATTTGCTGCGAGACGCTGAATTTCTGGATGTCTCACCCAGTTCGCAGAAGCGATGAAAAAGTATATATGATCCGTGCGATAAAACTGACGAGCAACTTTAAACCAAACCGGCCGAAGAAAATGATAGCTCCGAAGTGAGTGACATCAGACTCGATACTGAAGCTCTTGAATTGGGAGACGAGTGAAAGGGGCTTTTCTGCCACTTTGCTTCGTTCACGTGACCTCCACCAATTAGCCAATCAAAACGGTTTTAAATCCAAACCTCGTTAACATATGCCACGTGAGCCGCCACGGCAAAATAATGTGAGTGTATTACGCCCTCACATTTCAGCATCTCTTAACATACGGATAAATAAGTAAGCGTACGACTATGTTGGCGTGCGCCACGTTGCTAACTTCTTTTTCACCCAATTTTGTCCAATAGTTTATTTTTATTGATTCCAAAACGATACGAATTTTTTACTTAGAAATACAGTTGTTTTTCATCTTGACATAATTCAATACATTATCAATACATAGATTGTACGATTGATGAATAAAACACATAAAACAGATAACCCCATCCAACCAAGCACACTATTACCCCCCCCCCCCCCCTATCACCATGCGACACACACAAAAAAAAACATGCCCAAACGCTTGCCATTCAGTTTAAACAATAATCACACACACACACACACACACACACACAAAGCAGTTTATCACCTCATCTCCTGATATTTTCACGACCCTTGAGTGTTTGTCATTACATTTTAATTGACACCTGCTGTGCACGACGCATCGTCGCAGCCGAAGGAGGGCACGGGGGGGGGGGGGGGGAGGGGGGAACGTCGTCCCCTCCCCCACACCACCGATCTGGTGGTGAAAAAAACGAAAGCGGGTCAAGAGAAGAGTGAATTAAGGGGAAGACGAGAAGATAAGACGCCTAGAGCACCTCCCACACCCTAAAAATAATCAACAGCCCTGTAAATTCACATTTAATTTTCCGAGTAAGACCGATGTCACCACCCCCCCCCCCCTCCTCCCGTATAGTTTCAGTGCCCCTCTCATTTGGTTGCCTCACTATACACCAACAATATTTAGGCAATAACTCATTACTGAGTGATGATTGAGGCAGACGGACACCGGGATTACAACTACATATTATACTGGCTGCCGGCCGACATTGAGTCATATAAACCCGTTTTCAATCTTAAAGGTAGGCTTTATTACTGCAGCTAGAAGGGATTAGACCACACAGCGAGCCAACGAGGTCACTGTGACAGGTGGCTATCTCATTAACTCAGCTCTCATTTAACATAAGAAAAAGAGGATCATGGGGGACCAACAGGCACCGATTTGGGAAGTTTTCTATATAGAGGGAGCAAGTAGCTACAAGTAGGACAGTGTGCCTTTAAATTGTAAATGCTTACTATTTTCTCTTATCTTTTAAAAGTGGGGTTGTTATCTCCCCCCACCTTCCTTCAATTCAATTCAATTCAATTTTATTTCGCAATATAAAAATCAAAATATACAAAGTAACAGTAAATTTTAACTATGTTTACAAAGGTTATATGCGGGGCTTTCCATGAAGGTTGCGAAAACCTGTGAAGTTGGATCGCCCATTAAAGAATGAAAAACAAATACAAAAAGAAATATAACATATTATAAGCACACAACAATAAATTAAGTAAAATAAGCAAAGTACAAACACTTCAACTATCTATAAGACAAGAGAAATTAAAATAGAGAGAAGAAAAACAATATATAAAGGGGGAAAAGAAAGGAGAGGAAAACAAGATAACAATGAAAGAGGGTTCAGATATACAATTTAGAAGAAAAAAAAATCAACAACTGAGCTGATTAGTAATTATTTAATAGTAAGATTTTATATTGTTTTCTAAAGGAAGATATGAATTGTGATTTCGTTATTACTTGGGGAATCATATTCCACTGTTTAGGACCTAGATAACTCATTGATTTAGCTTCATAACTAGACTTAACAGACCATAAATGAAATTTGTTGGAAAGCCGTGTATTATAATTATGAATTTGACTATTATATTGAAAGAGGTCTGAAAAGGGGGCAGGTAACAACTTGTTTTTATATTTGTACATGAACGTTGCGATTTCTTGCTTATTTATATCATATATATTTAATAACGAAAGCTTCTTAAACAAAGGTGCTGATGGTGCTAGATAATGAGAATTGGTAGCTATTCTTAAACATTTCTTTTGAACTTTAAATAGTGAGTCTAATTCAGTTTGTGTTGCATTAGTGGCCCATACAATATTACAATATTTCAAGTAAGGGAAAATAATGGAATGATATAAAGTTATCAAATTTTCGGGTAACAAACTATATTTTAGCTTATTTATCAAGCCAGCATTTCTGCTGATGTTATGTAAAACATTTGTGATTTACATAACATACACAGAAGTAGTTTTCTGGTGGTAAATAGTTATGGATGATAGGAATACTGAGGGGTATCCGATGATTCTCCTTCCCCGAGAATCATCGGATACCCCTCAGTATTCCTATCATCCATAACTATTTACCACCAGAAAACTACTTCTGTGTACGTTCTTCGACATAGTTAACTTTTGGAAATCATGTTGGTCGTTATTTCTTTTCGGAGACATACTAGCCTTTTGACAAGGCCTCGTGACTCTGGCTAAGCGGCTGAGATGAGTCTAGATACCCGAAGTGAACGCGCGACCGAGTGACGAATGTCTCTCTCGTTCAATCGGGTTTTCGCGATTAGTCTCGTTTTAGTCGCTCGGCGTCTATCAGACAAGTGGCCTTGTTCAAAGGCTAGAGACATACAGACTCGATTGTCTGTATAGAAGCCGGTTTCTTGGACTCCGCCGTGAGTCTACGTTCCCGAAGATACCATAGAAACGAAGGTTAATTCTAAACCACATCATTCTATGGCTTGTCCAAGAAGTTAGACGTACATGTATGCCCGTTTCAAGAAGCAACCCCTAGAACCTCTATAGAGCTTAACATTTCTTTTCATTTCATCCCTCTGTCTTTTTCTTTTTCCATAGCCAAAAAACTATTTACAGTAAAGTATTATTTTGTAATTCCACAATTGTAAAACTAAACAATTGGTTTTCCTCCCTAATTGTCATTCCTTTCTGTTCTTTCCCCGATTTAATGTCATTTTCCCCTGATTTTTCTTTATGTTATCGCTGTTTATGATTGCAAGCATATCAAGCCTATTGTATGCGTTATCCCTACTGTACAATACAATGTTAAAGAGAAGTGAGCTTTGGTAAACAGATGTACGAACATCATAGAACATGAATGCCAATGAAAAGGATTGCTCTTACAATGCTGTCACCTATATTACAGGTAAAATACCTGAGAACCGCATTCTACTTTTCGGTCCCACTATACCGTTTTCCGCGTCCACTACAGCACGATTTAGTTAGATTGTTGAAATGTTAATGGTTGATTAACCGTATTTGTATTCAGTGTTCGTTTGAACTTTACTATCGATAATCTGCACTAATTTCTGGATCCTTTTTTTTTAGCAGTGATTTTTCATGATCAGAACTCAGCATTATCTTTAAACCCCAGTTTTGTTTCCAGTGTGTATAATCATGATATTAATGTTACATTAACGAGAATCAATATGTCAATAAATCAAGTGAAATTAAGTAGAGATATCGTACTCGAGACTTTAATCGCTTCACTGAAACGGATCTTGGTAAACAAGATAACGTATGAACGTGGCACATACAATCAGGCGCGGATCCAGGATTTCTAAGGGAAGGGGGCCCAACTTTCTTCTTTTTTTGTTTTGCTCCCGAAAATTTGAAAATCGCGCCGGTCGAAAAGTCGCTCAGTGTGGGGGGGGGGGATCCGCCACTGAGCGCAGCATGATGAAAAACCGCCTTCGTAGGCTATTGGGTTGCTGATATATGACTTTACAAAAACGGGTCTTGGCTGCCTGAATGGAAACATTTTGTTATCACTGCGTGCATTTTAAAGCAGAGGAAGGCCTGTGAAATATTTAAACAGACTGTTTTGTGACAGCCAGTCTAACGCAATGAGGTATTCGTTTTCCATCAAATTTTGGAATCTTTTAGGGGGAATTTTTTTATTTTTTTTAATCGTTTGCCGATTACCCCAGCTTGAAATACATTTCAGTTTTTATGGTAGTAAGCTCCACCAGGCACCTCGAAATAAAGGGGGGGGGGGGCTTTGGATAATAAAAAAAATGCCTAAAGCAGGGGAGGGGAGTTTGGGGACAGACTTTCCCAACCCATAAACGGCATATTTTGGCAACATTTCTAACGGAAATTGCCGAAACAAGTAAATGTGTATAACAGAAAACAAAAAAAATAGCGGTGTTTGTGTGATAGCAACCCCCCCCCCCCCACACACACACACACGCACACTACGGGGCCGGAGGGACCGCAAGCGTGTTCCTTAAATCTCCGGTAAAGGGGTACGCGACAAAATCCGGCCTGCCTTTGACTTTCACACTGGAAATTGGTAGGGGGGTGCTTTCAAAAAGAGGAAACGTGCTTTCAAAAAATATCACTGACTAGGGGGAGGGGGCGGGGTGACAGAAGATACGTCCGGGGAATCAAGGTCCTCAGGTGACAGTGAGAAAGCTAAAAAAAATAGTCATCAGGTGGGTTTTTAAGTACAAGGGCCTTCAGTGACAATGATGAAAAGGGGTGTCTTCTTGATAGGAAACATGGTGCGTTACTTAATTAATATGGGGTGCCCCCCCCCCGGGTCAATCGCTTGTCTTTCTTTAGTATATCTCCAATGATTTTCATGGCGACCGCATGGTATTAGACACTGACTGAAATAACACCATCCTTCTTGCTGAGTTCCGTTTGATATGTCATACTGTGTCCATTATATTGAGTAGGTATACATCAGTAGTGTTATCTCTAGATCTGCAAATGAGTGATTGAATCGTTTCTTTCATTCATATTAAATGCAAAAATAACGAACCACAATACATTTCACAAACATTGACATATCTTAACCCTAAAATGGCCAGGCTATTTGAAGTCTTAGTACGGCCGGGGGGATTATGCCCCTCCCCCCCCCCCCTCCCATAAGATCTCGGCCGTGAAGCGGCCGATCTCAAGATGTCAAGTGAAGTGTACAGAATACTATGATAATTGTTACCCATAAATCATATATTATTCATATTTAAGCATTCTTTTTCACTACATATATTCATTAGACCATTTAGAATAATAATACGACAACAAAAATTGGAAGAGCCAGCTTATTCCTTA